AAGAAAAAAGAAAAAAGAAAAAAGAAAAAAGAAAAAAGAAAAAAGAAAAAAGAAAAAAGAAAAAAGAAAAAAGAAAAAAAGAAAAAAGAAAAAAAGAAAAAAGAGAAAAGAGAAAAAAAAGAGAAAAAAAGAAAAAAAAAGAAAAAAGAAAAAAAAAGAAAAGGAAAAGGTCATTTTTTGGTGTTTGTTTGTTTATTTATTATTTTTTTCTTCGGTGTCCCTGTTTTTAAACCCGGCTGCTGCGGGATGATTCTTTCCCAAGCTTTGGCCACCAGAGGGTGCGACAATCCCGAGCAGCCCGCGCCTCGGCAGCGGCACCGCGGGGTGACCGCGGTGTCCCGGGCCCAGGGGGGGCCCCTGCCGTCCCCTCCCCACCTTTCCCCCCACCCAGCGCCAAAGCTGCCAAATCCTGAAAAGTCTCCAGAATGGGAAACCGCTCTCCCTATCTTTTATTATTTGCTGCTGCCAATGCATGCAAAGGGCTTTTAAGGGTTTTCCTCTCATTGCTGCTCTGTGCCTCAGTTTCCCCACCTGGAGCCAGCAGGAAGCCATGGCCTTCCTGTGCTGCAAGTGAATTTGCTGCCGTTGGAGAACATGAGGAGCACCGGGGCCATGTGCTAGGCTGATCCCAACAGCTCCTATGGGATGCACTCATGCAGGTCAGGGGATACCGCAATCCTCATCCACAATTCCCAGCCTTTTCCCAGACAGCGAGTTTCCCCATCCCCTCGCAAGCTCGTCTCCAAAGCATCCTACTCCAAGCTTATTTCAAGACCCTGTGCGCATGCGCCTGGGGGCCAAACTGCCCCCCCATCCTCGCCTTGAACAGTTTCTGAATTTCGGCAACCAGCTTAGGAGAGGCCAGCACCCCCCTGGTCCCTTTTTCCCAGCCCGCGTGCCGCCGCGCTCACCATGGCTGCTTTAAGCCCACAACGGCTGCTTTAAGTGCACTACAGCTGGTTTAAGTGCACAACGGCTGGTTTAAGCACACTAAGGCTGGTTTAATCACACAACGGCTGGTTTAAGCCCACAACGGCTGGTTTAAGCCCACAAGGAGCTTGCCAGGCCCTTGCCCATGCCCCGGCGCGGGGAGGCCGGCAAGGTGAAAGCCTGGAAGTTTTCGCCAGTGAACAAATTGCTTCTCTGTAGGGGCCGTTTTCTTCCCGAGGGGAACATAATGCGGGCGGTTTGGCGAGCAGATGGCGCCTAAGCGGATAATCCCACCGCCTCGGCCCGCCGCTCCCGGGACAGGGACCTGGTGGTGTCAAGGCCTTGGGGTCTCCCATCATCACCCCTTTCCTGCACGGGAGCAAAAGGCACCCAGGAAAGTTCAATATCCTCTTTTTTCCCCCGGTTTCAAGGTGCAAAGAGAGCCCCTCTGCCCACGCTTGCTTGCCACTCAGGGACCCAAATGCCCCATTTTTTTGGATGCCACATGCTAATAAAAGGCCTCTATGATTCCTCCTCTTCCCCAAAGAGGTTTTTGTCCTTCTGAAATGCAATAGCAGGAAAACCCCGAAGAGCATCTAGCTGCCAAGAGACTTGCCCAGAACTCATCTTGGTGACAGAACAGCTCCAACCACTGCTCCAAGGAGCTTTTGCAAGGCAAAGTATGGAGAAGAAAAAAAGAAAAAAGAAAAAAGAAAAAAGAAAAAAGAAAAAAGAAAAAAGAAAAAAGAAAAAAGAAAAAAGAAAAAAAGAAAAAAGAAAAAAGAAAAAAGAAAAAAGAAAAAAGAAAAAAGAAAAAAAGAAANGAAAAAAGAAAAAAGAAAAAAGAAAAAAGAAAAAAGAAAAAAAGAAAAAAAAAGAAAAAAGAAAAAAGAAAAAAGAAAAAAGAAAAAAGAAAAAAGAAAAAAGAAAAAAGAAAAAAGAAAAAAGAAAAAAAAAGAAAAAAAGAAAAAAGAAAGAAAGAAGAAAGAAGAAAGAAGAAAGAAGAAAGAAGAAAGAAGAAAGAAGAAAGAAGAAAGAAGAAAAAAGGAAAAAGGAAAAAGGAAAAAGGAAAAAGGAAAAAGAAAAAAGAAAAAAGAAAAAAGAAAAAAGAAAAAAGAAAAAAGAAAAAAGAAAAAAGAAAGAAGAAAGATATTTTACAGCTGGGGATAGTGAAGCGCACCAAGAGGTGCCCAAATGCACACTGGAATTCACAGTGGCTACACGAAGGAGGGGCTGGATCCTCCCCACGACCCATGTCATCCCCTAATGGGCCACCAGGCACTGTGTTGGTCATTAAAATTGTTGGCTAAAATTATTGGCAGGTTTGTCACTATAGTCCTCGTTTTGAGTCTTTTGGGGCCAGGCGGTTCCCTGGCGCCAAACAATTGGTGCCTTCTTCGCCCAGTTATAGGCGACAATAAAATTTGAAAGGAGAAAAATGCAAAATGGGGCATTGAGTTGCTTTGCAAGTGGAGGGTGAAGGGATGGGGATGGAGGTGTTATGTAACGCATGGGCACTAAGGGGCTCTTCGCCCACACTTGCCAAAGTGCTTGCTCCTCCAAAATTGCCAGATATCTTGTGCCGGGAGCAGGAGCACACAGAAGTGCACAGGAGTGTGTAGGAGATGGAGGCACTTAGTGCATTCTGCCTAGGATTGTGGGGCGAACGCCAAAGATGTCAAAAGAAAATAAGGGGGAAAACCCAGAAATTCCGCCACGAGCTTGTGCGGTGCTCAAGCCCGGAGCCCTGGGGTGTTAATTTTATTGACAAACGGGCCCTGGATGGGAGCACGCGAGGACAAAGCGGCCGCGGCGGCGGGTCAAGCGGGGCCGTGCTGCGCGCGGGGCTGGCGCCGGCGGGAGCGCTCCGGGCGAGTGGCCTTTGAGCACCGTTGTTTGCCTAACCCCTGACCCTGCTCCGGGGGCTTCCTTTGAAATCCCGGCTCCGTGACAAATTGCTGTGACCGGCAGGCCGGAGGGCAGCCCCCGAGCCCTCCGCCTGCTCCGGCCGAGCCAGCGGCAGCAGCGCTGGAGAGCTGTTTGTTCCAGATGTGGGAACATCTGGATGCGCACCTCCGAAGCCTCCCAAAATCAGGCTCGCCGAGGTTTCCTAGGACCAGGGTGCTCCAATGCACCCGGAGAGCCGTTATTCCTGGGCAGCTTTTGCACCCTTTGTGGCTCCAACAGAAGCTGCTTTTCAGAGCCAAAGCTGGAAAGGAGCCTCTAGAAAAAGCCGGGTTGAGCCCCAGAGGCCTTCCTGCAGCTGCCGATGCACAATCCGCAGCTCAACGGGAAGCTAAATAGGGCTGAAATTGTCCCAAAGTTCTTGGGGTGCTGGTGGGAAATGATAGATGTACCCTCTTGAGAAATCTCATGGAAATCTCATGGAAATCTCTGCATCGCCCAGGATAAATCCCAGCTGCTCTTTAAAGGGCGCTCAGCCTCGGCTCGTGTCACCACCACAATGCCAAGAGGCAGAGCCCGAGTGCACATCCAATTTGCACCAAATCACCTTAAAAATAGAGCAGCGCTGAGGTTAGATCCTCAAACATCTCCATAGGGAGCCTGCTCCAAACTCTTTGTGGAGATCTTTGTGTATCCTAAAATACTTTTAAGTGCAGGTTCTATGTCTGTCAGCTGTCACTGCTGAATACATCTCACTGCTGTTATTATTATTATTACTTCTATTAAACGTGCGGCCCCACGACTCATAAAGCAAGGAGGATGAGGAGGAGGATGGGGCTGGGAATGCACAGGGAGCACAGCCATCAGGGAAGATGCAGTTTGCAAGGACAACCCTGCAAGCTCTCGGCTCAGGGGATGCACGAGGGAGAATCGCAAGAAGGAAAAATCCTGGCATGGGAGGGATGCATTTTCTGGGCCCAGATAATTTTGCTCCTGGGCTTCTAGGGAGAGCGAAGACACCAAATTTTGCTTTGCTTCCCCCACTTCTCTCCCACTGCCAGAACTCCCTGCAAATAAATATGGGATTATTCCCCCTATCCCCGCTCCTATAATGGGGCAACAGGCTCCTTCCTGGCCATTCCATAGCCAACCTCCCTGCTAGCCCTGGGCCACCATTTCCCTTCAAAAGCCCTTTGGTTTCCACCAGTTAAACTTCTCGCCTGAAACCCCTTTGCAGTTATTTCATGTAACATTGCAAAGGCTCCTGTGCCCCCCTCCAGGGATGGGAAGGGAAGGGCATTATCAGGATAACTGCTTGGAATCCCGCACAGCTCCCGGCTCCCAGCTGCATGCTCCATCCCACCAAGCCCCCCTCTCCGACACCCTAAGGAGAGGCCAAAGCAGCTCCTGGGTCCCGGGATCACGGGGAAGCAGCCCGGCCCCATTTCCCAGTCTCCATCCTCATATATATTCCCCATCCGTCGCCCTGCGCCTTTTCTCCCGCCCGTCCTGGCTTTGGCGAGCGCTGCCGTCCCCTTGTGCTCCCCACGGCGAACTTGCCCCCCTCCCAGTCGGCTGCCTTCCCCCTTTTCTCTCCTAGAAACAAAGCGCCTCAGTGTCTGCAAGAAGAAAAGTTGCATTATGCAAATGGGAAAAGGCGAGCGGGAGATTTCTCACTCCGAGAACCCCCCATTCCGGGCCTGCACCTCGGTTTCCATGGC